GTGTGTGTGAGAGAGAGAGAGAAAGAGAGAGAGAGAGAGAGAGAGAGAGAAAGAAAGAGAGATTGTATTCCCAAATCGATAATCCCCTCCTAGCTTCCTTTCCTTATTTATATACTGCTGTTACAATTCTGTTATACCCACCTCTCCACTTGTCCAGTTTGGTAGTTTGTTTGTTCTAGTGGTTGGCTGTTAATTTCATTCTTTAAAGGCTGGCGTGGCCTTTTCTTGTACACTTGTATTCCCTTTATTTGTGTCTCAACATTTTCTAAATACTTATGAACTTTTTTGATATGCAGATGAAGAACAAACTTAGTAAAAGGGAATCCTCTATGACTTTACTGGAGAAGAACACAGAAACAATGCTTTTGAAAGAACAGGAAGAAACAATGAAGCAAATCAGAAGGACAAAAGAAGAACAGCAATCTTTGTTAAACCAAGTTACTTCTGCAAGCAGTACAATAACAAGCCTACAACAAGAAGTACAGAGTGGGAAAAGGACAATTGAAGAGCTTCAATCCCAAATAAATGGACTTCAAAATGACCTCACAAAGGTTAGGGATGATAAAAAGAAGCTTGAGGCCAACTTGAAGGCAAAGGTCAACTCTATTGAATCCTTGCAGGAAAAGACAAACTTGCTCAGCCTAGAAGTCAAGGATAAGGAAGAAAATATTCAAAACCTTAGTTCCACACTTTCTGAGAAGGTTTTAGAGTGTAATGAATTGGATTGTGTTTCTAAGCAAGCCAAGGCTGATATTGCAGAGGCAAATACAAAAATTAAAGGATTGGAAGAGGAAGTTTTTAGAACTCAGAAGGAACTAAATTTGAAACACTCTACACTGGACGATCTAAATGTGAGGATAAGTTCATTAATTGCCGAAAGAATTGATACTAACAGAAAGCTGGATGTCCTTCGGGAGGGTTACGATGATATGAAGTTATCTTCTGAAAAGAAAGCTTCTTTGGATGCTGAGCTATTGGCAAAAAGAGAGCATGAAGTTCATCAGCTTGAAGAAAAGCTTGGTCTTTCTTTGGATGAAGCTAGCAACAACCAGGAATTGATTGGTAATTTGATTCAAGAAAGGGATGATTTGAAAAAAAAGCTGGAAATAGAAGTAATCCATGTGAAAGACCTGACACATGATCTCCAAATCACACAGGAAACTCTTGGAACGTTAAAACTTGAAGCTTCAGATCTCTCAAAACAATTAAAACAATCAAGAAAGTTCTGTGAAGAACTCAAGTCTGAGATCTCTAGAGTTCAGACTGAGCTTGTTGAAGAGCAGGAGTCATCAAAGAGAAGCCTGGATGAGGCAGTGTTGAACTTGGAAGTACTTTCGGCTGAGCTCACGTCAGTTAGGGCAACATTGAAGGAAACCAAAGAAGAGCTCCAAAATGTGTCTAATGAATTGGCAGCCACAACAGAAGTTCGTGAGAACTTGAAGAAGGAGCTTCTTGTTATATATAAGAAAGCAGAAACTGCAACCTATGATCTGAAGGAAGAAAAGAAGATAGTTGCTTCTTTAAATAAAGATCTGGAGGCATCAGAGAATCAAATCTTGAAAGATAAGGAAGCAAGTAAGACTCTCAAAAGAGACTTGGAAGAGGCTGCTAAGGCACTTGATGAGATGAACAAAAATGCATTATTGCTTTCAAGGGAAATAGAGATGGCTGGTTCCAGAATTTCTAGCCTTGAAGATGAAAAAGATGTGCTTTACAAGTCTCTTCTTGAACAAAAGAATATCTCAAAAGAAACTCGAGAAAATCTGGAAGATGCCCATAAACTCATTATGATGCTCGGAAAGGAGAGGGAGAACTTGGAGAAAACAACAAAAAAGCTTGAAGAAGATCTTGCTTCTGCAAAGGGTGAGATATTGCGCTTGAGGAGTCAGATAAACTCATCGAGAAGTACTGAAAATGACCATACACAGAACAAGAGCATAGTTGAGGATGATGTTGTGGTAGTCGTAAAGAAAAATGGTAGGAGAAGGGCTGAAATCCCAGTTAGAGGCATCTCAATAAACTGGTGATTCCAATATTCTTCTTATTTGTCTCCAATTTCTTCAGAGTTGTATCTCAGGTTTTCATCCATTTTGGTTTTGCAAATTTTTTAGCATATTCCTGTCCTGTATCATACAAATATGAAATTAAACCATACAAATTGAATAAGACATTATTTTCTACAAGGATATTCTTAATATGGACTATGCCATTGAGGAATATATTTATGCATTTGTTGATTTTCTATTGTTTGAATGACTAATTTCTTTTTTCCCTATAAAGATGATGGTATTTTTATTTTTATAAACTAAGATGCTAAGATCATTACATCACTTTTAGTTTTAGATGAAACTTTATTAGATCATGAACAAAATGGGTGTACTTCAATCTAAATTTATTGCATGTTTGTTGGATTTTGTAGCAAGTTTATATGTGAAGTCAAGTCACAACCAATTATTTTTTTCTTAATTTCCTCATTTTCTTTTTTAAGCAGTTATATTGGGCTTCTTTGGTGGGGGTTTGGGATGGGGTGAAATTGCAGATTAGTTTCTAAACATTTAACGGCTGTGTGGGAGTCATAAGATGAATACATTTCAACTTGGTATTTTGAGCATCCTTATCAGAATGCCAAAAATTAGAAAATGATTAGGTTGGATGCAGGTTTCCTGGTTAATTCCCCCTCAATCTTGCCACGTTCATTGTGATTATTGAATGTTAAGAAAACCTACTTCCGTTTTTCTGATTCAAAAATTTGAGTAGAACTTGTGTGAAGTAGTACTTCTAGTTGAATTCACACTTGACTCTTGGTTGGGTGCGTCTTTTTTGGCTCACTAGCAAAATGATTTTTTAGAGGTAAAGAACCCAGACAGGCAAACACCTAGGTGGTGTTCACTGTTCATTCCTAGTTTTTTTTTTTTTTTGTTGGCTTTTTTTCTATGTTTTTGAACCATAAAACAGCTCTTGGATGTTCACTGCGCACGAACTTTTATTTTTAGACCCCGTTTGCGAGCATTTCTGCAATGGYGGGGTGCGTTGGGTTTAATTGAGCTATGGTATTCTGGAAAATAATCAAAATAGCAGTAGTTTGGGCGTTTGAAAATCCCACGGTTTTTTTAACGTTCTCGTGCGAGGCCCATCTCAGAATGTAGAGAGGCCCGTTCTATTTAGAGATAAATGGAATGGAGTCACAACAATTAAATATATATAAAAAAATTAATAATTGCTGGAATAGCTCAGTTGGTTAGAGCGTGTGGCTGTTAACCACAAGGTCGGAGGTTCAAGCCCTCCTTCTAGCGTAAATTTGATTTTTGTAGGTTTAAATTTTTAGATTCTTAATTCATGAAGAATGAAAGAAAGAAACAAATTAATAATTGCTGGAATAGTGTTAGAGCGTGTAACTGTTAATCATAAGGTCGGAGGCTTTAGCCTTCTAGCGTAAATTTGATGTTTGTAGGTTAGATTCTTAATTCAATGAATAATGAATAAAAAGAAAAATTTAATAATTGCTGGAATAGCTCAGTTGGTTAGAGCGTGTGGCTATTAACCACA